TATCCTACACTACGGACGCCCTAGTGTATGCACAGTCCTTGTGATGCCAGAAATGCTTACCCCTCTTTCCAGCGCAAGGCATACATAAGCGGGGGGTAAATTTACCCCCCAGATTTGCAATAACCATACACCGGCTATTTCCTCAAGACACTCTATTCCATATACCTTTTACCCGTGCTTCTCCTACACTACGGACGCCCTAGTGTATGTACAGTCCGTATGATGTCAGAAATGCTTACCCCTCTTTCCGACTCAAGGCATACAAAAGCGGAGGGTAAATTTACCCCCCAGATTTGCCGATCACGCATCTTCGTGCCTGCCAACGAGTGCGCCCGGGTTGTTCCAATGTACCCTTCCCAGTCAGCGATGTCACATTTACATTCTTTAGCGCAAAGTATGTACATAGCAACCTTCCTGATTCCTCCCAAAACATGTCATCCCTACATGCTTTGCCGACTATGTAACTAGTACATCCGGTGCGATTCGGCTAGCTTTCGACCTCTCCCCCTGGCCTCAAGTTATTATGATGATGGCCAGGCGGCCAGGCATGGTTACTTCCCTTTATATAGATTTCTCCAGGGAATGCACACCTTTGAGATGGTCACCGCCCAGTTGAACCGTAGAATCCTTTTGCGCATGAATTCAGCCAGAGAACATGTCCATTTCATCGGATCCAGCCAGGGCTAGGATCGCCACAGAACGGTCACCACCGCTATAATTAGCTATAGGAGATGGTTAAGTTCGATTTAATTCCTGTTGGTTCTTCGAACTCCTACGTAAGAGCTTTGCCGTTCTTTTTTCTCCGGCACACCCTGGGTGTCACCAGGAGGCAGATCGTTTGTACCGATATACGGCTCCAAATCGATGTGGCTGGGAGTCCCGCTACTCGTGCTGCACCGGCCCAGGCGATTCCACAGATCACCGCGCGGCAGGAGGGCCTCAACGAGGCCGGAGCAGCCGGAGCTGCACCGTCCACTGCGGAGACGGATGCTGCCAAGGCGGTGCAGAGCATCCCTGCCTACGTGGCTTGGGACAGGAACGGTAGCGCTGCCCGGAGCGCTGCCCGGAGGGATCCAGCTCTCCCCTTTTTGGAACAGCTGGAGGGAGTTTCCCAACTTCATGCTAGCTTGAGACGATGGATGAGGGGTGGCTGTGGGGGTTGATGGTGGAGTAGGTGGTGGTAGGGAGAGGAGCTGGGGGGGATCGGGGTATTCAGATTCCCTTATTACACAGGGAGCCAAGGAGGTACAGAGAGTTTAGACGTTTGGAGTTGATGGATGCAGTTCCAAATGAAAGAACGTGTTTTGTCAAGCGCAAATCACTAGGTTCATTAATCAACAGTTGGCATTATGCTCGATTTTCTGTCACCCATTGACTACCCAGATTATTTATAACATAACAATATACATGTTAACGTTGTATACAACACAATGTGCATCACATTACTATATTATTGCAACACCATTAGTTCAATAAAGTTCTATATAGTATATCATGGCCCAGATGTTGTGCGAGTGAAGGTTGTTTGTCCAGTGACCCACCAGCCCAGGTGGAGGTTTGCGATGCGTTCATCGCTCTGGTGCCAGACACTAGGTGCAATGGGGTGATGAGAGAGGGTTTCACCTCAACGGCATGCCCACTGTGGTTTTGAGCTCCCAATTTCAAGGACGTTGCTAGTCTATGCACAACCTCCGCAAACAAGCAATAAGTCACTTGCTTGGCTTTGAGGAAATGATGCATTCTGATACCAAGAAGTCTTGCAACTACATCTCCTGGCTCTCCCGTGGCTGGTGCCGGGCCGAATTGTGGTGCCACTTGCTTTCCAACAAGCAGCTTGGCAGTCATATGTGACGCGTCCATGTGACGTGTTAAGGAATGGACAAGTGTTGCAGATATGCCAAAGTTAGGTACCTACCAGCATTGGAGCAATTGGTCCTCGCAAGTGAATTGGTCCCGGTGTCAGTTACTATAGTGACCGCGTCACATTGCATTGAAGGCTGACGAACACTGAGTTCTGGAGCGCCTAAAACAGAAGCCCCCTAACATAGGACGGGTCTTGGAATAATCCCAGGGCATCCAGTTACCACTATAGCTGTTAACCAGCGGTTCCAAAGAATACAACCATCTAAAACCATAGACCCAGAATCCCTGGTTCCTTATATAGTGGTTTGCCTGGGATCCACTGGGAATGATTTATGCCAGCGATGGGTGCCCTTGGCCGGTTTGAGCCATCTTGGCGATGTGGCCAAGGCCTGACACGCGGGTGATCTTGATTTTCTCAACGCTGGAGGCGGAATACATGCCGCTGGGTTTCTGCACAGAGCTGTCAGGTGGAGAAGGCTTGAGGTACACGGGAATCTTCACAGGTTGTGCCATGATGAAGAGGACAGACAGTACAGACTAGTGACTATAGAGCAATGAATTAACCCAATGACGATCAACGACCAAGGTTTTCTCATATTCCTGGAAGTTGTGCAGTACAGACTCATGATGGGAGGATGTGAATGTTGATCATCAAGGTTATCGGTATCGACTGTTCGAGTGGATCTTAAGACGTCCCACGCTGGGCGTTTGGGATAGGTGTCCCTTCTCATCTCTCCCAAGGCTTCAATGCTTTATATGGCTTTGCAGCGTCAATTCTTAGTATATACATGTATATATACAACCATAGTTGTATATATAACTATGGCGTATATACATATAGCCCATAGCTGTTGTTTACTGTATAACCATATATGGTTTTTGTTTGGTTCGCCGGCCTTCGGTCCAGGCCGGGCGTGACCTGTTGCTCGGGCCACAAAAATCCCAGGTCAGCGCTCAACTGGCAGCAGAACACCATCGCGGAGGGCGACTTTACCGTGGAGAAGGACCGAGCTGTCGTGGTGAAGCTGGGTGAGGTCGCCGTGGAGAGCAAGATCGAACATCTGTGGCTCGACGGACGGACCTATGGTGCAGCTGGTGGAGCAGGGCTTTGCATGGGTCGGTCTAAGAAGTCGACAGACGGACACCGGTGGCCACTGGTTGCCTTCCTGAAACGGGGTCGGACCGAAAGCGAACGATGTCAGACCATTGCTTGGCCTTTTACCACTCCAAAAGTAATGAACTATATGAACTGAAGGCCAGCCAAAAACTGCTCTCAACATGAAATTTGCTGTTTTTCCCTGTTTCCTCTAGCCAGAAAGTACAACGGCGTACCGTTCTTGCCCCACCTCACCGTACTTCTCCTCCGCCTCACCCCTCTCCGTTGCTTTCAGCGCATTCTTCGACTTCGACCGAGGTCACGGGAAGGGCCTTTGTCGCATTGCCGCTTTTACTTGGCACATCGGCCCAAGCTCTTGGGACAGGACACGACCGATGCGATGCAGCCACGGTTTTTTAAGCGGCGATTAGAAGTGTGTGGGGCACCATGGTTCAGATATGTTCGAATGTGCTCACTGCAGATCGGTGAACTATGAAGATGAAGGGACAGCCAGAGCTTTGCTTGCGGGTGTGGTGCAGACGCAAGATTTGGATAAGTTTGCAATTTGGGTCATACCGTCATACCGTATCACACATGTAATACCTTCCAACTGTATACGCTCGAAGCAAGAATAAAACATCGGTTTGCTTGCTGCGTGTCCTGTGACTGGGAATTTATGGCCTTGGGGGATTTTAGATGGTTGCAGGTTGGAGTCGGAGTTGGGGAGGGGTTGACAAGTAGACCAGCCCAAGTTCTTTGAAGGATGTTCAGTGAAACCTTCCAAGCAAGAAATACGCAAACAGTGACCAAGGTGGACATTCTTTGGCTAGTTGGCTTGGAATGATCACCGTTCTGGCCCAAAAAGTTTGTTCTGGAAGAGTTGCCAGAGAACACCTATTCACCCAGACACTCGAAGTATCTCGAAGTATATCTATATATGCTTACATTGGCCCCGTGTCAACCACACCAGCTGGTTGGTCAAGACTGACTGGTCGTGTTTTTGGGGGGGAGTGCATCACCGCTTCCCTAGGGCTCCAACCTTCTGAGAAGGTGTTTGGGTTGGGTTTGGTAGGTCCAAATACCTTCTGAGGAGGTACTTGGAGCCCTAGGGCTGGGGAGGGTGGTTCCCCCAGATCTTCCAAAGAGCGATGCCACATCATGCCACACTGTAGGGACTAGAGTGATTCCTTGGCTGATTTACACTCACTGGAACCATCATGCTGCAAGTGCAGAACGGGCCATCGGATGCCTGGGATGACCCGCAAACCATCGCAAACGGCGGTGCCAGCCACTTCCATGATGATTCCAGGGAGCGAAGATCTCTCTCTCTCTCTACAACCGCAGGATTCGAAGAAGCAGCGCTGGGACAGCTGTTGGGCATGGGTTGTCAAAGCGATGTGTTCCTCTTTTCATATCCTGTTGGCTGGAAAGACCACCAGACAAGCACGGGCTTACATTGACTGTTTACCATACCGTGGACGATTAGATGCGCATGGGCTGGTCACGCTAGTCGGAACCGTGACGAACGGCCGTTGCGACTTCGCAGGAGAGAATCCAATTTGAAGCTTGGATCGACTTGGAGTCGATGATGACGGAACATTGGGATCATAATAAGCCGGACATTTACTGTATTTGATCTACTCCCTTGACGCATGTGGTGTAATAAGAATTCTGGATCGGTCATGTAACACGGCCAGGTGCAAGACATGGTTGTCATGCAAGACACGGCCATGTGAGTTCTTTCCATCTCTAACCTACAGTTGGATCCATAGACCCACTATATATCCCATAATTATCCCATCAATGCATATCAATGCACCACTAGTAGAGTGGACAGGTGATGACGTTTTAAACCAATATAAACCCATCTATCCTTTTTCAGCATCGTCGGGCAAGTATCCGCTTACCTGACATGCCCAGCTCAACGCGCCGAGCCGAGGAGCTCAATGGTTTCCTGTCGCACTTCCGCTTTCACAGCCTCAAGGCGACCTGCCGGGGCAGTGATGAAGCGACCTACTGGGGCAGTGATGAACTGGGCTTTGCTACGATGGCTGTTTGAGGTGTGCTCGGCCTACATGCCGACGGCACGATTCCAAAGAAAGGAAACGATCGTTAGAGGCCCTAGGCATTGTTTTGGTGAACTCACATGTCAATGTAACGTCCCCCGGGGGTCAAAGTGGGGTCTCTCCCTAGCCCAACCCGGCGCCGACCTGGGCGTTGACCGATCATGAGTGATCACGAGAAGCGATAGGCTGGTTGCACCCCCCAGACATGGCCGACCGCTGGGGTGGTTGATTTCAGGTGCCGAGGCCCCTGGTCGGCCAAGATTCCAGACCCATTAACCTGTGGAGTGTGGACCATTGAGCCAAGTGGCCTTGGCCGCTGTGCTGCTGTTTTTTGTGCTTTCTATCTTGGAGTCACTACATGAACATGGAACATCCCAGAACTTCGAACCTTCCACGCCGCTTTCAGCCGCCACGCCGAAGCCGTATGTTTCTCCTATTCAGGACGCGCTGTCCGTACGAGAGGGGATGACGCCCTTGCTCTGTGCGGTCTTTGCCGGGGATGCCGCCATCATCCAGCTGCTGGCAGAGCTCCTTGGCTTCGGCCGCATCGCTCGCGAAAAGGGGAGCGTTCGGCGTTCAGCGACAAGGGTGCATGGGTGCATGGGCGAGGCGATGAACTGCTGATGCGGATTGTTTTAAGATGTTTTAAGTGGAGAACTGGAGATCTAACTTAACATAACTTAACCATCATTGTCTTAATTGCCTTTAACAAACGTTAACGAACCAACTAATTAACCATCAACATCCAGTGTTGCATAGACCGCTGGAGTTCGAGAACCACCAGACGACGAGTCCCGTCATTTGAGGCATCGCGCGGACGTGAATGCCCGGCTGCATGGGCTTTATGACCTGGGCTACTTCGAAGGTTTCTGGGCGGTGTGGAGTTGTTGCTCTTGGGGCGGGTTTGGCACTGAATCTTCAGGGCGCCCTTCACACTTGGAATCGTCTAAGGTGTCAGGTCCAAGGATTCTTTAGGGCAGAATGCAGCAGAATGCAGCAAGAGCGGCTGGCCACAGAGGTCAGGCAAGATCCACTTCTAAGAGTCCAAGAGCCCCCCCACCACATGAAGACATGTTGGAAGACACCTGAAGCGTTCATGCAGTGCTTCTCACCATGTTGAAGTAGTGCTTTCTTTGATTCCTTTGTTTCTGGATATGTTCGATCAATAACGAACCTTGTCATTTGACCAGGCCAGGGTCCCCCCAAAAATGTGAACGTGAATCCCAGCCGTCATCTTAGGTGCTTTTGCAACGCATGTTTGTTTTCCAGTTTGCTTCATGAGCTAGCTATCAGCATGTTGGATTGTGCTCAAATTGATGGATCATGACTTATGACCACCTTCGGGTCTAGATTGGAGAAAGGCAAGAGTTACATTACATTCAAAAGACAGTCAATCAAACGATGAACTTCGTGAGGATTTCCACTGTGTTGAGCCACACACCCAGATGTTTGAGCAGATCCCTCGTCAGAACAGGGACCCGGGATCCTCACAGGGCCCAGGTTCAAAGAAGATGAACGGATCCCAACATGATTTGACTCATCCAGCACCACCCAAAGGGTCGTTATTAGATGGAAAATACATCTTCAGGGGGGTCTATACACCACCCTTTGTGTGGTGCTGGATGTAAGTTCATCGATGTTTATAAAGGAGAGGCATTACATGTGAGTGATGGACAAAACCAATGGTTGCTGTATAGGATGTTATGATAGATGTTGTCAAATCCTCATGTGTTTTTCTACGCACGCTATGACATGAGGATTGCATCCTACATAGGGTGTGTCCCGTTGCCAGCCACAGTCGGCAAAAGATTGCAAAAGGTTTAATTGTCATAGCCAACAGTCTGATCTATTTTGAGAAAAGTCTTTAACTAACCATCATCATCCACATGCACAGTTGTTGGTTAAAACAAAAAACATATCGCCAACTCCTAGGTGATTCTGTTTTGATCCTTCCTCCACCCACCCAATCACAGATCAGCCGGACAACTCGCTGGCGGCAGGGCAGACGCCCCTCATGGTCGCGGCCAAGTCCTACCAGCGGCCAGAGATTTTATCCACGTGGCCCAGCGAGAGATGATGAGAGGGTGCCGCAAGAGGTTTCAGCTTGGCTCGGGCGGGTCGGGTATGGTTTAAATGACTTGCTGATGGTGAGACTAATTGTGATCGGCATGGTGAGACTAATTGTGACTTATGGAGGTTTGGGGAGCAACTCAAACCCTGTTATATTGCGCAATGTCACTGCACCGCCATCCCAGGCCTTGAAAACCTAGAAATGAGAACCCTGGAAGGGTTTAGGAAGGGTTAGAAGGTTTGCCCTGGAACCCTGACCTTGTGTAGACTACATGTCATTGGAGGTCATATGCAATTCGCCAGGGTTACGCCTGAGATGTTCAACATCCTGTGGAGAATGTGACCTCCCATTGTGGGTGGGTGACAATTGAACGTACCAGCAACTTCCCAGGGGTGTCCAATGGCAGCCCCCCACACTGCTTATGGATCGACTGGACACCCCTTTGAAGTCCGCAGATGAGATATGTAAACCTAAGAATCACCCCATGCAATTCTTCTTCAACCCCCTCCAAACTTGCAACTGGCCGTAGGACTCACGGTACGGCCGTGAGGACCTCCGAGGCCCGAAAAGGCCGCCCGAGAAGTCCAGACCGAGATCGGCCTCCGTCGGAAGAGTCTCCGCGTGGTACTGGAGCCTCGACAGACCCTCCCTGAAACCGAAAGGGATGGACAATGGCGTGGGAAGACTGGTGTTTGCTCTACAAACTGGGGGTGTTTCACTTCCATGTTGGTGAGTCAGAGTATCAACCCAGAGTGTCAATCCATGTTCGATGCCGCTTGGCGTATGCGTAAGCGCCAAGCTCGCAAGAGGCTTCTGGAGTGCTCGGCCGACGCACAACTCCTCTCGGGAGCTGGGATCAATGCGCCGTATTTGGTGCGAACGCCGGAGCAAGTGGAGGCTGCATATGGACCACCAGGGGAGGGCGGCTGAGGGAGCTCGTGGCGTTGAGGAGCTTTAAGGTCACATAGGTCACGACGATTTGATCATGATAGATCAACCCTTGTAAGTGGAGTTTGAAATCCGTGCAAAAAGCGTGGAGTCAGGGGTAATTTGCACTGCTTTGGAGTGCCAGGATGTTCTCAATAGCCTGCACTTGTGAATGCAGCTAGGAGCAATTAGAGGGGGGTAGCTGGATCATGCTAGGTATATTGCTTTGGTGGGAAGATGGTGGATGACCAGTGAAGCATGGTTTCAACCCTCGCAGCCACCCATCCTCCATCATCCTCCCCCCTAACGGCCTAACGGCCTGGGTGTGGCTCCAGAGGTGCTGTTGCGCTTCCGCGCTGACCTTCACTCTCCATGCAGCAATGGCCTCACCCCGTTGACGGGTGCCGCCTCGTTGGCCAACCCGCAGACCGTGCAGGCGCAGCGGCGATTGGATGGGACGGGAGTGGGGAGAAGGCTGGGCAACGCGTTCTTCAGCTTCCTAAAGAAAAGCCATGTAACCATTGCTTGGGATTGTCCCATTAAATACCTGTAACGGTCAGTAAACAATCACCACGGGCCTACTAAAGCGGAAAAGGTCCACTGCTACTGGTAATAGAGTAGGCCCAACATATAAAATATATAATAACCCATATCAATCCATATATATATATATAACTGGTGAATTCCACCCGACTCCCAGTTTTTGGGGGACTAGACAGGTCGTCCGTGCATTGCAAGTTGGATCATGTCGATCGGCACAGTCCCAACCTCGCCCGGCTCGTCTCGGGACGGTCAGGCCCTGTTGGCCGCGCGCTGCGACCCCAATCCGCCCAGCACGGGCATGGGTCCGGGCGCCAGCAGGGGGGGAAGGTGGGGAAGGTGGGGAATAGGATTGGCCGTGAGGACCTGGGGAGTGTGAGTGGATAGCCTGGCAAAAGTGGATTTCGCTGCCCCATGCTGTAGAAAGGTTGGCATGATGCGGAGAAAAAAGGTGCGAAAAGGGCGAAATGAAGTGGCCATCCCAGCAGATCCCAGACATGAAATCGGACATCTATGAGGCATGATGAGGCACCTGGTCCACAAGTCGTTGAAGAAGGTCAAAAAGGACGGCCAAAAGGACCCTCTAGAAACATCTAGAAACTCCAGTCGAGTTTGGGAGATTCGGAGTTTAACCACACATATATTAATGTGTTCCTGGCTTTCCCTCAAGGATCACCTCCCCCAAAAAAATTCAAATTGCAGTGGTTCGTCTTTTGCGAACGGATGGAAAGGTGTGCCCTGGCCCCGTTCTAGCCCTTAGTTCAACATGAAGCTCGCGCGCTAAAGCTCCTTTTTACCTGGCTGGGCACTTGAGCCAAAAGTATATGGCATGTACCTGTATAGCGACTATACTGGGACCTCATCCCTATTGACACCCCCCACATCCGTACTTCGACGGGGAAGGGAGATGAGTGGATGTAAAAACCGGAGAACGAATCGTGTTCTCAAAAGTGTATTGGAGGTCAACCAGTATGTCCTATTGAATTGAATTAGCAAAAGATCTTGCATTCGCTTGAAAGTTGGATCAAACAGGTAATGGAGCTACAAGCGGAAAACGTGCACCTACCTATGGTATCATGCGATTACCAGCGGTGTGAAACACAATCCTCTCTCACTCCCATGATGCCAAAACGGTCATCATGAATTACCCAAGATCCCTCAGTATTTGAAGTACCGGAAGTGGCATGTCGGTATGACCCCAATGCTCAACCATTCGTGAGTTGTCGCATGTAGTCAGCGCCGACAAAACCAATGTAGTCCTTGATGAGCTCAACGTTCCTTGGGTTTCCCGCTCGGATCTGCTCCTCGAAGGACTTCAATTTCTGTGCTTGAATAGCGGATACCTCTATGCCATAATAGCGGCATGCAACGAGGATCTCCTTCGTGACATTCTTCCTCTCCGATTTGATGGCGGGGCTAATGTCGATGAATTTGTATGGAGCGGCACTTTCGTCATCTGGTTTCTGGTAGTAACTATACCGGCTCGCTCCGAAGGTCTTCCTGATCAAGCGTCTGATGAAATTTGAGATGAATGCCAGTTTCTCGATGATCTCATCCTGGGTCTCAGACTTTCGAGCCTTTGGATCACTCATGTTACGCCGAGTGCTGCCGACCTCTTTGAGGTACTTGTGGCTAAGCCCGCAGCGGATTGCAGTGATCATCATCGGGTGAACAACGTGGGCGTGGAATTCATAGATCTGCCACGCTTCTGCTGCATACACGTCGTCGGTCCATCTGCTCATGCCCACGACCTCGGCTCTCTGGAGACGTCTTGGAAACCCAGTATCCGGATCATTCGGTACTATCGGCCATCTATTGTGCGGAGTATCATGCCGCTGTCCATCGTCGAACATTCGCAGTACATCTTCACGACTTTCAAAGCAGTTGATGTCGAACGTTGCGTTGGCCAAGCTCTTGATCAACTTCATCAACCTCAGATCAAATTGCTGTGTGACGGCAAAGTTGTGGTCGATGGGGATCGCAGCTTCTTGCGGCAATTCGTCAATTGCGAAGGGGAAAGGCTGCGGAAGTTCATTCCCGTATCCATCTTGAGGGACCTCCCGATATTCGGGTTCGCCTTCAGCTTCGTCCGGTCGTTCCTTCAAAATGATAGGAACTTCCTCCTCTTCCTCTCCTTCGGATTCCTCGATCTCAATGACCTCTTCGGCTGTCTTGCGTGCGTTCTTGATGACTTCATCGATGTTTGCACCCGCAGCAGAAGTTGCTTCACCGGAAGAACTGGCTGGGACATCTTTCGGAGGTGACCGTTGATTGCGGTCCCTTGTCTCCTTGGGTACCACATGCGTGAGCTTCCCATTCGCGATCAAAACCGCTACGCAGTGCGGACATATCGTCAATCGCACATCGACTTCGCCAAGACAGTTGGGACACGGTCTTGAGTCATAGTCTTTCATTGCTCGGCGGTACACGATCTCCTCAAAGATTTCCTGCCACTCGGTGCTATCATATTCTGGGTAGACACCACTCTCCTCGATCATACCCAACAGCTTTGAGATTTTGGCGTCGTCCTCGGAGTAGGTATCGTCCTGAACCTCAACCGCTAAACTCTCAAGCTTTTGAAAGCGTGGAATCATGATCGGGTTTCCGTATTTGGACTCCAGAACAAGGTAGCTTCCAGGGTCGGGTTCCCCATTGAGTAACCGGATCCATTCGATCTCCTCAGGCTGTCCGGGTTCCGCGTTGTCGCATTGCAACCATGCCCCTTTAACCTCATCGAAGGGAACGACGTTCTCAACCAATAGAGAGCCAGTCGCTGAGATGAGAAGTCCGTACTCCTGCAGCTTCCACACCGGAATGTAGAGAACCACCGGGCGATCACTCAATGCGACCTTACGACCCAGCCAAGGTTTTCCCTTGTAGCCCTGCTCCCAGGCCCATGGCGGAAAACATGTGAAGTGGATAGAATCCCTTCCCGATGAACCGAGACCTCCTGGCACTAGCCCTCGTCGCATGATTGAAGTCAGCGCTCCGAGATTGGTAGCGTGAAATGCAGTCACCATAGATAGGGCCATGTCGTTGGTCATTCTCGATCCAATGTGGTCGATGTTAATGGTAACGTCATAACCTCCGCCGTCCGTTGAGTGTGCCGAGGTTGCTCTTACGGCCACGGGAAAGCACCATCCATCGCTATGGTGGAGTCTTCCTTTAGAGATTCCCATGTCCTTGAGTTCGTCAATCCATTCCTTCTCCATCGGGTCATCAGGCTCATTGAGTTCATCAGGGAGAACGCGGACTGCCAACATTTGGAATCTGACCCTCTTGGTTATGCGGAAACACTCATAGTTCTGGTCGAAGTACTTCTCCAAACGCGCCTTCTTGGTCACGATATCTATGTTGCCATAGTGATAACCGTCTTCCCAAACTGCATTATCACCTAACAGGTCTTCCCATGACACCCATGCGCCTTCATCGCATTTGATTGGTGCGAGTCTTCCTCCTGTTCTGAACTGGCGTCCAATTCGATGTCTCAACTTCGCTCCCAATCGACGACTCAGGGCCTGGCTCGCTTGGCTGTATTCAGGTACTCGACAGTCTGGAGTCGGATACTTGTGGTTGCCGTAGTCGGAGTTCTTTGCAGCGAAAGTGACTCCGTTGATCGGTACTAGTTCAACTTTCCCGACCATCGTCATGGGTTCGATCGGCTTGTATCCCTTCTCCCTCCGTGTTGGTAGGGGATAGAAGTGATGACATGCCTTTGGTGTGAGGGAACTGGAGTGCACAAATGCCTTCTCTACAAATTCGTACACTACCTTCATATCCCTAGGGCCTGCTTCCGCAAGCTTCCGCCCATTGTAGGAATGTGGCCCTCCTTCGACTCCATCAGCACTTTCGATCAAGGTGAATCCGTCATGATCGAACATTGTCACGACTCTTGCTTTTAACATTTCTTTTCGCCTGAACTCGCTGTCGACCTTCCTATCTGGAGTGGGCGATGCTCTCTGCTTCTTCTTCTTAGGCTCCTCGGTTGGATGTCCAGATGGTATATCGTCGGGTGCAACCTCTCCCTTCACTCTCTTCTTCCAATCACTCAACACTGAGGTGACTGTAGGTGAAGATGAAGGGGTCTTCTTGCAATTGAGAGTTGTGTGTCCCGACTCCATGCAGTGGATGCAGAATTCTGCTTGCCCGATCTTCTTCTCAAATTCGTCGATGGCTTGCAGTATTGATGTCTTCGGGTCGGACATGTCAACATCTTGCTCCTCTTTCCCCTGTCCACATTCAGTCTCCATATCGACACCTTCGGCCTCGGGCTGGTCAGTGGCTTCCGTTCCCTGTTCTGGTTCTTTCCCAATCTCGAAGAAGTGGTCGATGGAGGCGGCATGGTCCTCATGCGCACGAGAATCAGAGCCACGTTTGCCGCCTCATCAGAGTGCGGGTCCAAGGTTCTGATCGTCGATCGCTTTCGGTTCTCATACGTTGTCCTGTCGTACAGCGATGCAGTGACGCGTTTGATGGATTCTTCTAATCCCGTCCTCAAAGCTTCGATGTCACCCCATCCCCTGAACATGTGCCTGAAGAGTTGAGCAATTTCAAACATGCCCAGCAGCGCTTCCACCATGTCACCTACCCGTTCCTCCGTGGGATCATCTCCGAATATAGTGCGGAATACATCGGGCTCCAGTATGGTCTTGAGGTATTTGGTGTAGCATACGTTGCCAAGGTCATAGGATCCCTGGTAGTACTTGGCGCTGCCGACTATCTGCTTTTCCACATGGATGCTGGGTCCTCTCCTCGTTTTGAAGAAGTTCTCCGTCATTGTTGATGATAACCTGATCCCCCCGAAGAACGAAATCTCCTTCTGGAATCCTGGATTCTCATTAAAGATGATCATCGCCTCGTGTAAGAACTTCATCAAGTCATCGTGCGGGTTCATCTCGGAGATCACGACGGTGGGAGAAGATACCGTTTGCCCCATGCCGAAGTTGTGAAGCAATCGCGCACATGCATGGAATCGCTTCTGGACGTAGTCTTCTGCGGACATCCCACGGCATCTATTTGCTGCTCCGTTGATGCATTCTGCATAGCAATCGTCTTTCAAATCGGAGTCTATGGGATGGCAGACCAGACAGTAATCGCAGCAAATTTCCTCACCCTCCTTGAAGTCATCAATGACGTACCACCTTTGAGTCCTTGAGTATATTGGTTCTGGCTGAAGGACTCCCCAGTACTCATCCATCCATGGCATCTTGTTCTCTCTCCTTACCTTCTCCCTCTTCCTCCTCTCAGACTCATTCTCACCTGAAGGCTCCGCAGTGGACTGATATGCATGGCTTCCTCTTACGGA